AGCGAAACGTTTTATAACAATTTCTGATGATAATCAAGAAATTTAAAACAGTTAGTCCCCTTCAGTAGTTTGAACAACGAAATGAGAAGACGAATATTGGCAGATGCTAGCATTTCGTATTATCTCGTCAGTACCAATACAATAACAGGGAAATCCTTTTATATGTCTTACAGGGCACAGTCAAGCCAATCAAATTTATGGTTGTGGTCATTGTTGTTGGGATTAGGTCCACGGCAACCGCAGGTTGACAACTAATTGCTTTTGGACACACAAAGCTGGTCTAATTCGGCTTATCGCGACGGCCTCGGCAAATCGTAAAAGGCGTGCATTAGTATGACGTAACAAGATCCGGAACGCTGATAAGGGATTAACCCGGTGACGAGTCGCCAAGATGTGCCTGCCTATGGAGGACGCTGGCGGCTTACGCGAGCACGTATCATCGGAGGTGGATTGAGTAACTTCGCGCTGAACCCAGTTTGGTAAGTGTTCCTTCACTCTGGAATCTAAAACCCGTTCGGTCCTGCCGATGTAACTGATACCGCAGTCACACACGAATTGGTAGACACAATGTGATTTGGCGCCGACGGGTTCATCTTCCTTTACTGAAGGTAACGGCAACTTTCGGGTTCTGTTGATAATTACCGCCTCCGCAGCACAGTATGTACGCTGAATGGCCGAGACAATGCGTTTGGTTATCCTTCTTGCTGCGGTGTCACCCTTGAATGGTAGCTCAATGTACACCTTCTTCTTAGGGGCTGTCAACACCATCTCCTTGGGCGGTCTAACTTGGCTATGTTTGTCTATGAATCGCTTTGGGTAGCCATTCTCCATAAGTGTTTTAGTGATCAGCTCAAACTCCTCAGGCAGGCAGTCGTTGGAGCAGATACGTCTGGCCCGAGTGAATAATGTTTTTACCAGCGCGCGCTTGTGTGCCATCGGTGAGAAGCTAGTGAAGTGTAGGTATTGGCCGGACCACGTTGGCTTCCGGTATACAGATCGCTTAATCAGCCCATTATCCCTGCGACTCATGAGAATGTCGAGATACGGAAGACGCCCATTCGATTCGAATTCAAAAGTCACCTTCAGGTTGGCGTGAACATTATTAAGTTGGTCTACTAATTGTTCGATTTGCATCTTCGTGGAACCGAAAACAAGGATATCATCTACATATCGTTTGTAATACGGCAGCTGAGAAATCTGTCCACTTAGTTTCCTCTCAAGCATCAGCATGAAAAAATCAGCCAGTACCGGGCCCAACGGACTACCCATAGCCACTCCGTCAATTTGGCGATATGTGGTGTGCTGGAATCGGAAAGCGACATTCTCCGTGCAAAGTAACAGGGACTGTCTCAGGAGGTCTGCCGGTATTGGTAGACGAAAATTCTCCTCTTCTATCAGGTGGCAAATGTAATCAACTGTCTCAAGCAAGGGGACATTAGTAAATAACGACTGGACGTCCACGGAGCACATAACCTTGTCGGCTAGGCTGATTTGGTCTAGGTCTTCGATTATTTCAAAAGAGTCCTTAATGCTGTGCAAATTGTAGTGCTGCCTCAGTGGCGCAAGGATCCGAACTAACCAGCGAGCCAATTTGTGCTGCGGGGAATTTACCATCGACAAAATGGGTCTTAGTGGCATGCCCTGCTTGTGAGTTTTTGGTAACCCGTACAGCTGTGGTGTCGAGGAACCGCTCGGCTTCAGGTGCTTGTAGGTGGTTTCATCAATTACACGATGTAGGAGAAGCGTTTCAAGGTGTCGGGTTATACGGGCCTCTACTTCTGTCAGACATTCTATCCTGTCGGTGCGTTGAAACTTGCTTTCGTCACTTAGAACGTTTAGCATTTTTTGTACGTAATCACTCTTGTTCATGACAACTGCTCCTGAACCTTTGTCCGGTTTTAGTACAACCACTCCCTTATTTCAAGAAAGCTGCAGGAAATAGATCGGCAGGTGATTCGAAACGGGCAGGCGTAAAAGAGCGGCGTCATTTGGACCTGCTATAAGTCAGCAACGAAACTACTCTCACTATGGCTAGGGCTAAATTGCACCGAGCCAAAACACGGATGATTCAAGACGCTGAGTTCCCAAGGCAGCAAGTGGAAAGAACAACAAATGATGAATGTCAATATAATTGCTGTCAATATACATCTACCTGACTTAAGCTAGGATTGCTAAAAAAACAAGTGGTCACAGCAAAAACTAGCAACCCGACTGTAACGCCTCTTATATAACGATTGAGTCCAGTTCACGTCTTCGCCCGGAAGCTAAACTTTCACATGTTATGTAAAATTCATTTTAGTTCAGTCGAGTCAAAGTAAACAACTATGGTCCTAACAAAGATGTTCAGTGGATCCGATTACGACAGTTAGTGTTAGTAGGAAAACAATAGTCAGCAACGATGGGGAGCATGAGAGAACAAAGAAAAGGAGTTAAGAAAAACAGTCAAGTTAATCGATGTGGTATATTAACAGCTAGATGTGCGAAACCGAATGCGAAGCGCCAGTGACTGTGCGATGGAACCATGTTTAGTATGGCTTCCAAGCACTGATGTGCCCTATCACGAGATCCTATCTATGAAGGCGATGTACGCAACCTGAGCAAATATCTCGGCTAACGTCTTGGTAAATGTATGCCAGGTCATCGATTGGTCACGTCGGCGCTTTTCCAAACCAGTTGCAGTGACAGCGTATAATGCACATCGAGAAAGCAGATCAATAGACATACAGAAAACATGAACTAGCCAACGTAAGCGGTTGGGCTTTAGTGAACGCTGCGGTGATGCACCAGAGGGCTTCTTGTCAAAAACCAACTGGTGGACCTCAGCATCGCACACCCGGTATTCCCACTAAATATTAGCGACACTCTGAAAGCATCAGTGGTTAAACACGGCCAATCGCCTAATGTTTCCACTGCGAACTAGCCAGGTCTCTGCTGCATACAGTAATACTGGTCTTATATTTGGCAGCCTGATGTTCCGTCGTCTCTATGGATGATTGAGCCCGTGAAAAAGCACACAACCTTCGCTGCTACACGAAGTGATCTACGCAGAGATGTATTAGGAGTGACGCAACTACGGCTGAAAAATTCCCCGCATTCTTGACTTGAGTTACAAAAGAAAGTGAATCGATCGATTAGTTACGGTGGTGGATGAGAGCCACGAGTGGTGGTGTGTCGTTTCAGTCTTACAACAATGACCTGCAATTTCAGAGAGAGAAGCAGATGCCGCAGATGCTCTAGAAAAGCCGTGTCATCCGAATACCCAAGACTTGTCAATTGATCACGTAGTAGAACTTCCATTCCAAGAGAGGCTGAGAGGACAGAGTAACTGATGATCAGTTCGAGCACAAAGAGGAAAGGATATATAGGCGAGCATGTTGAACCCCACGTGTCGTGAGGAACTCAGGAGACAAACATCTGTAGCACCTTACCCGGTCTCAAGAATGTCAGTGGTGACCTCAAAAAGGAGAGTGGTTCCCTAGTACACCGTGCCACAAACTGGCAGGATCAACAGGTTTCCAAGTTAAAAAGAACAGTGGTGGATCAGCTACATTCGTGGCTCCAACACCTGATGAGGAGTAAATGCGTGATCAATGCGGCTTCGACCGAGCCAGTCTGGCTCTCGCTGATTCGGATCTCACGAGTACCAGTGACTCGTTGCAGAATGATACCTGTGAGGACTGGAGGAAATGGAAATAAGGCTAATGTCCCAATAAGCATCGAAAACTCGTTTGACACTCTTGGAGTGACGGCTGATATGCTCCAGTGTGAAAGTACTTACTCAACGTCCCAAATAGCGTCAGAAAGAATGGATGAAAATTCTACCGATTTTATTTTGCGCATTCAACAGCCATACTTCAATATGTCAGGAATTGGAAACGAGGGTAACGCTGTGGTCCATAATAGAAAACCGTCTTCGAGGAAGTCGATCACGCACATAGCTAATAAGCATTTCAATTGAAATGAAACAGCAAAGACAGTAGACGGCTGCCAGCGAGAAGTTGGTACATGGCCATCCGCTGTCTAGGACTACCTTATATCATTAACAGACAAGAACCTTCCCTGCAAACTCACGCTGTGGGTCCAATGGGATCAATGCTCTATCCTTTGAAAAAATCTTTTTGTCTCGTACTGAGGGTTAGAGTAGAAAATAGCAGCAAAGCTGCCAAGCTCGGTGGACATTCTGACCACCAATTAAACAACCTAGGCTATCAATATTTGCTTCCATAACAAAGAAAAGATTCTAATTTATCGTCTGATCAACTTTTATCGTCAGCAAAATGGATAAAGTGGACATACACTGCTCCCGGTTCACTGCTCACGAAAGTGCAATAGGTAGCTTTTACAATATGTTCAGCTTATGCGCATTATAAGTCGGTTCGCTGTAGTGCCTAACTGTAATGACGGTCCGTTGGGTTGATAGACTTGAAAAGGGAAGTTGACGGTGTGTCATCATAGTCGTAATGAGGGACTTTCGGCCTTCGTGAGTGGGAGATGCAACCGTGTAGGTGTACGGTGAATCTGTCCGCAACTACATCGTTGTCCACATTTCCGCTGCAACAGACCAGGGACCGGACGGTTAAGTGACAGTACATGGCCGTAGACGCCCATTTGTCACTATAACGTGTGCAGGGGGCGTCATGAAGAATGTTACCCCGTCCGGCAGAATGCTTGTTGGCAAACACTGTCATTAAAGGTACTGGAGTGCTGCAACGGAAATGGCCGACACATGCAAAAATGCTGAGGTGTCAGGTGGCGTTGGCACCTAGAGAAAATGGTTGATGGAGATTATTATGATGGTGGGTAGAAACGATGATTAAAAGGTCGCTAAGTGCTAGAAGTTGGTGACGAGCTGAAGTGATTAAAATGTAGGAAACAAGAAGAAGCAGTGAAATTAGCCTTTGAAAGGCTTCGAGTAGGATACGGAATTGGCTTCAGGGAATGGGTCACAGTAGATGACCTGGGAGCTAAAACGAAGAAGAAAAAACAAGCATAAGACCCACCATGTGAGGATGAATTGGCTGGAGAGGCAGTGGGTGGCAAAGTTGACGTAGGAATCCGTCCGAAATCAAGTGAAGCATCCTGTTCTCGCGAAGAACCATTCGAAATTTTCTATTAAGGTAAATAAAAGTGGGGTAAAGCTAAGTGTATGCGAAGCTTAGAGTGTAAGCGTAAAAGAGAAATCACGATGAGAAAGCGCGGTTTCAGATAGAACTGCTGTGAGTGTAGAGCTTAGTAATGCATATGCCACCTCGTCAGAGCAGTGAGAAGACATAAGTTGCGATATGTTAACATTTCGATTGTTCTCTTCAGTCGCAAACACAATACAAGCGGGATTCATGGACAGTTATATACAGGGGGAAAAGTTGGCACACCAATCAAAATGTCAAAATCAAGACCACGGTAACCTAATTGAATGTCTCAATAGTTTCTGTGCACACAACACAGGTTGATAAGCCCTAATTAGCAAAGCCTCACTAATTGCCAAGATAATCGGATTGTTGTTGCGTAATAACACCTTGAACGCAGTCTCCGGGTTCACCTGATGTCGGGTTGCCAAGAGATGCTTGGTGATAGATGATGCGGGACTCCTGTTCATCCTCGGATCCACTCCGTTTTGTTGCGTCATCAGTTGCTCCACCCACCTCGGCACATGTTCAGCTACCCTCTGAGCTAACTGACGGTCAGTCCTGCCTATGTAAATGTCACCGCAACCGCAGGTGAACTGGTAAACGACGTGAGAGGCCGAACTGACTGATGAGTTGCTCTGACGGTCATGAAGAACAAGGCTTCGCGTTGTATGTATGAGTCGCAACTGAGCGGTCGCGTAGGTGCGCGTAAGGGCGGACCGGAGTTTATGTCCGATATCATTCGATACATGGTCTCCTTTGAACGTCAAGCACAAGTAAAGGTTCTTTTTCTCGGCGGTTAACACCGGTATTTTCTCCTTGGGAGGCCTGCTGTGGATCTGAATGAACTTCTCAGGATACCCATTTGACACCAAGGTTTTGAACAAAATTTTTTCAGCTTGCAACATTTCGGGGCTGCATATCCGTCTGGCTCTGTAGAAAAGCGTTTTCACTAGACCACGTTTGTATGCGACCGGGGCAAAGCTGGAAAAGTGGAGGTACTGCCCGCTCCAAGTTGCCTTGCGATGAACCGTGCGTTGCAGTGTACCATCGGTTCGTCTTGTAATGAGTATGTCCAAAAATGGCAGACTATTATGTTGCTCCAACTCAGGGGACACCGATAGATTTGGATGAATGGAATTCAGAACTGTCAACAGCCGCGCAAAATGTTCGTTGCTGGTGAAGACTAGGATGTCGTCCACATACCGCTTGTACAACGTAGCTTCACCAATGCTGGCAGTAACTTGTCTTTCTATCAGGCCGAGAAAGATATCTGCTAATACTGGTCCAAGAGGGCTACCCATAGCGACACCGTCGATCTGTTTATAAGCAGTGCCCTCAAACTCGAACTGTATATTTTCCGTGCACAGTAGGATCATATCCCTCAAATACTCCAGCGGAAGGCCAACAGACATGTTTTGACTCACGATGAAACCACACAAATTTTCAACCGTCTCACGTAGAGGCACGTTTGTGAATAGGGAGTCGACGTCTATTGAGTACATATGCTCCGCACCCAGCGACATGTGTTCCAGTGTCTCGACTAATTCAAAGGAGTCCTTTAGACAATACGTGGCCAGGAGTTTGCGTACCGGCTCCAACATTTTCGCTAGCCACCGCGCAACGTTGTGAAATGGTGAGTTGTTCATACACATAATCGGGCGCAGTGGGTTACCTGCCTTGTGTAATTTGGGAGCGCCCCTCATTCTGGGTGTCTGAGTGCCGGTCGGTTTCAACCGCCTGTATTGCGAGTCATTGATGTAACCATGTAGTAAAAGGATCTGCAGTTTCCTCGCTACTTGCTTCTCGACTAAGATGTTGTTTTCAGGTGTCCTGTCTAACTGGAACTTCCTTCTGTCCCCCAAAATAGATTCCAACTTTGCAATGCAGTCAGTTCTGTCCATTATAACAATGCCTGATCCCTTATCCGGCTGCAGAAACATTACGTGTCCCATTTGTTTTAACTCCTTTATCGCCATATAGTTTTCGGCTTTGAGACAGCATCTCTGGCTTATAGGTGTGTTCATGTATTGATTCGCAATATCTACCAATTTTGCCCGGAACCAACCCGCATCTTCCATTGACCTTGGCGCATGGTCACTGAGCTGTTCATTCAGATACTCAAAATGAGCCTGCGTGTTGAGTTTATCTATAGCTTTTGGAGGCAATCGGTACTTCAGTCCAAGTGAGAGAACTTCCAATTGTGTGCGCGTGAACTGTACAGATGACAAATTGTATACATGCTTTAAGCACTCAGTAGGGAAGGCAACATTTGGAGCTTTTGCAAGGGAACCCTGAAGATTGCGGACTGTTTTCGTTCTTGTGCGACAGATAATGTCAGCGGAAAAGGCCACAAATCTCAACCGGCAAACCAACGACAACTCTTTGAGCACGCACGCGAATCGCCTCTGCGTCTCGAGGAACTTCCCTTCTCGTTCAAGGCAGGCGTCGATGTGCGCCGACGCTACCCTTGCTAGATTGGTGTTGTTAATTGGCAACTTGTTGCTTGACAGCGTTTTGGCAAATCGTCGCGGAAAACAACATGAACGGATACATCCTTCGTAAAATTCTCTCCGACCGCGTTCCACAGTTAACTTACAGCGCAAAGATAACAATCGATCTAATGCCCTCGCAACGGTAACGTGGAGTCTTCTTTTCAGAAAGGTAAAACAGTGGATTCCCTTCAGCCATTTCGTCAGAGCAGTGAGAAGACATAAGTTGCGATATGTTAACATTTCGATTATACTCATCAGTCGCAGTGCCAGAGACAGAAACAGCGAAACATATGCGTATCGGTCAAAAGTGTAGGAAACAGCGACGTAGTCATCCGCCACTACTTCATGAAGCAGGGAAATGGTCGTTGTGTGTTACCTGCTAAGAAATTGCTGGTCTTCGACGTCCGATACGCCTGAAGAGTCAAGCAGAACAGACGGAACTAGCGGGTGGGCAGTACCGAAGGTTGGCCAGCTGTTCGTTGGCAACAGGTATTCGGGCACTGCATTGTTGTCCGCTATTATGAAGTATCTAGGCTGGATAGGTAGCTTTCTGTCTGCCGACCAGTCCAGTGCCTCATAAAATTGTTGTGTTGTAGCTTTACTGCTACAGAACCATAAGGGTTTGACAAGTAGGAAATGAGAAGAAAAGAGAAGAAAAGACATAGTGTAAAAGTTAACGTCTATAAAGAATGCATGTCATAAGTGTTTAGGCTTCCTCGGCAACACACGACAACAAAAAGCAACCTATCCTGTGAAGACGAGATGGCACAGATGAGACTACTTGTTGGGCTGCGCAGCGTTATGCTTCGTAAGCCTTACTCCGCACACAACTCAACATAATACTGCTGTAACGTTTTGCCTGCGGCAACTGTTGCCCACGGTTCGCTCCGCCTGGCGCCCAATCCAACTGCGAAAACCAAAAGCCAACGCTCTATAGATGGGGTATAATCTATGAGAAGATACGGTTCCATTTATTTGTCAACCATGCATACCAATTATGGCAAGAAGGATCACCTCATCTTCGTCGTCCTGGCCTCAACCATAGTGAATGCGTTCCAGTGGCCTGGTCAACCATATTTGGCCGTTTGTTCGTGTCAAAGCGCGGACCTTGATCACTCAGCCGACATCCATCTGTGTTTGCCAGTCTATGTTCCATATTTGGCCGGCTGTACACGCGCCAGCGTACGAACTCAATAGCATGATCGTCGTTCACCTGAGGTCCCCAGTCACTCAGATCGCCCCTGAATTCTATAGTTGGTTGGTCCTTCGCGAGTCTGGAGTGACGCATGTTCAAGCTGTCGGCAGGAGCTAGACTTGTAGTGCTGTGCGGGATACTCACTCTGTTTGATCGTCTAATACATACCAACTACATACATGTAGTCGGGGTGGAAAAGCATAGTAAATATGTCACTGGCACCGGCTGCGGGTCATTGCAATCAGGGTTTAGAGCCAAACTCCACGAAAGGGTCACGTGGTCCTCGATGTAGAAAGTAAGGCGCGAGACAGTCTAGGTTAGTTCTATCGGATAAGCTGGACATCATTCAACCATACTATGACGGACCACTTGGCTAAGAAATTCTCGCCGCTTTTTATTTCGGTGTTCATGTGCTCGCGTGTCGATATGAGGCATGACCGTGTCCACCGCACCTAAGTGTGCATAACCGAAGGGTCTGTAAGACCTGATATTTTCTAACTCATCTTAATTTCCCCGACTGACTACATCTAATGAAGGATGGTACACAAGTAAACCACAGATCCTAACCTCATACGCTAGATACGCATCTAGCAAATTCAGACCAGGATTTGTATGAGAATTAAAATGCAATCCGTTCAAGCTATTGTCGCTTCCGCTGTATGATGGTTAGGTAAGCAAATACATGCAACCTGCGATGACGTGGTGCGACTCTTGAATTATTGCTGCCAAATGGACTGAGCAAGGAATGTGTTCTAGGGAGTCTGCTTCTCGAAAGCAAAGGATAGTTGATGCTTCATTTTCTTCGAAGTAGGTAAACTTGACCGAAAACATGACGTATTATAAACACTAAGACAAAAGGTAACGATATTTCTGAGCGTTACGAGTAAAGTGGTGACGAATACCAAAGAGAATATCAGGCTACAATGAGTCACCAGAAATTGAAAAATTACAGGGACTCGTTGGATGATCACGCACACAACCGTGACAAAGTTAACTGAACATAATATAACTCCCCTTTCCGTTTAATAAGTTGCGCACAAATTAAGTCGGCAAAATCTAATTCGGTGAACAAATGAACTAAAGCGGCGCCGCCGTTTCAGTTAATCATACTGTTCAAGGGCAACTGCGATCGGTTGACGAAGATGAGGAACACAGAAAGATAGGTTGACGATGTAAAGTGTTTGAAGGCGATCTAGAAGGGTTATTGAACTAGCATAAACCCATTCAAATAATCAAAACTAGTGTTTGAAAAAAGGTAAGGTTTTGCATTGGCCTTTATGTTACGCTTCTAAATGTGTCGAGTCATTCAAGACAGGAGAAATCAACGAGCACGTGACTGAGGGAGTGAAAATCCTGAATGATTTAGGCATCAAAAAGTGTAAAAAAGCCCGAGACCACACACGCGATGAATTCCGGGATTTACAGCGGACTGCAATTTAGAGACCTACTTGTTCACTTTCAGTGCGGCTATGTGTGCCAGGAGAGTGGACACTAAAATAAAAATAGCAAAATACCACAGGTCAATAACAAGACTCCAAATGGTAAAGAATAAATAATTCTGCGATTAAGCTAAACGACCGAGATGGTCTGATTTCAAGCAAAAGCAAGCCCGAATGTGTACTCGTCAATTTAAAGTAATTAGGATAAAAGCCAAACATCGGTGCTGTAACTAGGTAAATTGAGGCGGCGTTGTGAAGGCGCATACGTCTCTGAGATCTTTTGGCGACTGCGTTTGGCTGAGCGTGACGGTGCAGAGAAGCAAAAAGTGAGTTGTAAGATAGAGAGAGTTTGGAAGGTTTATAGATCACTTAGATTGAAGATAAGCGTGCATTAGACAACTTATGCCGAAACAACGGCAATGAAACCGACACTGGATTGGATAACTCCTACGATTAAAGGAATATAGATAAAAAGCTAGACATGCTATTACAAGATAAGCGAATTAAGAAAACACTTCCTCCATAAGGGGCAAACGAACTTGCCAAGTCTGTACAGTTTATTCAGGTTAATCAGATTCGATCAATGCATTGGGATGAGGTGGATACAGGTGCCTTGGCAAACGTTACCAAAACAATGCGCATAGTAATAATTCGGTAGGAAAGAATGACCACTTAATTGGTCAGATGGAATGGCCTAAGGCCCGAAGTAACGGAACGCATGTAAACGCCACCAGATGCATAGCCGCGTCATATACGGCTGACGTAAAAAACATTCTAAACAGACACCAGCTTCGCAATAGTACAGTATATTACCGTGTATAAGCCGACAGTATGACTTTGCAACGCCAAATTTGTCCAAAATCGTAAGTCCGTATCTTAGCCGACCCCAAAAAAATCAGTGAAATCGTTTCTGACGATTTTGACTTCAACCTTACCTGCTCTCACTTGAGTGTGCTCAAGCGAAAGCTGTTCTACTATTGGTCAGTTCTGGCAACTTAATGTGTTATGACCGTAGGTAATGGGGCTTAGACTCGTCAGAACAAAGATTTAGATCGCACTGGACAGTGTATTGACGAGATATCAAATCACACGAAACACGTAAGACAGCTGACAATATGGGGTTAGATGAAAGGGTAGGTGGAGGCCTCATGCACCTGAATCGCAGTGGAGAAGCGGGTGAGTGGAAAATCCACGATTAGTAGTGTGGGACGACGTCGTACTTTTAATAGTAGTAGTAGTAGTAGTCTCAGCAGTCTATCAACCAGACACAGAGCCAACATAAAACCATGGAGATCAGCGGGAAAGGGACCGTCAACGCGTCATAATCATCGTACCATGGTAGTTGAAGGTGAGCAACAAACTTCAGTTACTACGCCACAGGAAGAATGGAACATTTTGACAAAAACTAGAACAAAACATTTTTAGTTTGTTGTTCACACGCCACATTTGCTCTTTTTTTGTCATTTTAATGTTTGTAGTATTAAACATGTGAATCAACACAATACTGTACACAATTCTTCCACTGATTCCGGTTGCGGGCCATGTCTTCAAGTGCTAAGTCATTGGCACTCCTCAGCGTTGGGTCCCCATCCTGGAAGACGTACGGATCCAACAGCGGCTAGACACGATGTCAGAGATTTCATGTGCTGCCGCCAAGTGGAAAGCTGACAACCACACGGGTCGCCTCCAGCCAGGTCCTTGTCGAGCGAATAGAGTGCGACGCGGTAGACGCTCAGATGCTATGCGTAGGACGTGGCCGAGCCATCTCAACTGCCGCAGCAAAACCAGTTGGTTGAAGGGAATACTCGCATTCCCCAAGATGCGACGTCGAATGTCATTACTATTAACTCAATGTTGCAACCAAACACGAGCAATCCTCCTTAAGCAACCGTTATCGAAGGCAGAAAGACGACACATGTATTCCACGCGAATCGCCCAAGACTCGCACCCATACAACAATATTGAGCGAACTGATGCGCTGTAAACGCGGTCCTTTTGTGAGAATGAGACGTCGCGACGACGCCACAAGTGCCTCAGATTGACAAATGCTGATCAAGCTTTAGCGATATGAAGAGAAATTGCTTTGTTGATAGTGCCGTCAGCAGAAACACAGCCCCCAATGTAGACGAAACTATCTACCTGTTCAAGTTGTGCACCTTCGAAAGTGAGCACGGGAGCAGGTGAAACCCAATCCTTGAGCAGTACTTTACACTTCGATGGGGCGAAGCTCATGCCATACTTAGATGCTTCAACCGCCAAACGATCCAGAATGAGTTGCATATCCTGAGGATCGTCACCAAGTAAGACGATATCATCAGCATAATCTAAGTCGGTCGCGCGCTCATCCGGTAGAAGCTCTAGGCCAAAATGTTGGAAACCTACTAGAGCCCTAGACAGAACATCTCTGATTGCGAAGTTGAAGAGGAATGGGGACATAGGGCAGCCCTGTCGCACACCGCTATTGACAGCGAATGGCGAGAAAAGCTTGCCATGGACCCTCACTCTGCCGGATGTATGAAGGTAAAGTGCTCGTAAGATGGCGGTATATTTCTCTGGCACCTGGTTCTTTAGCAAGCAACGCCTTAAAGCAGGTTGATCAACTGAATCAAAAGCGGCACATATGCCTAAGAATACAACGATAGTGGGCGTGTGATGTATGTGGCCACGTTCGAGGAGTTGGCGGAACGTGACGATTTGATCCACGCATCCGCGGCCAGGACGGAAACCAGCTTGTTCTTCACGGTAGTATGATTCACGTACTGGGGATGGTATGCGAAGCAGAATGGATGCCAATAGCTTAGAGGCAACTGAAATGAGACCAATCCCGCGATGATTTGTACATGAAGTACAAGCGCCTTTCTTGACAATCAGGACAATAACTGATCCGCCCCAAGAGGAAGGCACTTTTTCTTCATGCCAGATTTTTGCGAACAGCGTGGTCAGGTGGTTAATGATCGGCACACCGCCGTACTTGAATAGTTCCGGAAGAAGTCCGGCTAAGCCGGCAGACTTGAACCGCTTCAATCGTCGAAACTCGAGGCAGACCTCCGCTTCGCTGGGTGGATTCAGTGGGACGAGCCAGGGTGGATAACAAGGTGTATTGCATGTACTGATGGATGGTTGAGGCCAGTTCAACTGCGAGTGAAAGTGCTTGACCCAGCACTCAATACGTCTCTGTTGGTTGGTGATCGGAGACGCATCCACCTCACCAATGACCTCACTGACATGCTTCCTGAGGCCACTGTAGCAAATGAGTTGGAAAAGCTTGCGTGCTGCCAGAGAGAGAGATGTGATCTCTATCTCTAAAGCAAGCTCAGACCACCAAGTCTCGCGATCCTTGCGTAGGCTTTGCTTGAGCAGCCAGTTGGCAGAACGGAGCCCCTTGATGCAATCTGATTCCACCGGGATATCTTTGCGGCGTTCGAACAGCTCCAGAGAACGAGCAGAGATCCAAACCTTCAAGGGGCGTCGAGTAAGGCCGCACCTTGACCGTCCGTAAATGGTCATTGCTTTCCGTCTACAAATCCAGTATTGTTCCACTTCCAGCGGTGGATTCCATCTGAGTGCATATGCAAGCGAAGACTGATAGCTCGCCTGGACAGAGGAATCAGTTAATCTGTTTACCTCAATCTTGCAGTGCTTCGCGTTTCGAGACCACCCAAAACACGTCCAGATTTTCGCGCAGACCAGTGCATGATGTGAGTCAAAGAACGTGGATCAAAAGGACCTGCAGTCCAGTACGCTGCCGCACAATCTGAAGTTAATTGCAATGTGATCAATTTGAGACCACAGTTGTGTTGAAGAAGGGGGACGCCACGTTGCGGAACGCTTCCTCGTATGCCTGAAGTTAGTGCTCGAGAAAAACAGATGGTTGTCTTCGCACAATGTGAGAAGCCTCTCTCCGTTAGCAGAGCGGTTCTCATCGAGCGCGTGATGACCACCAAGCTGGCATTCGTATCGTAACAGGTGGCCAACCCGTGCATTAAAATCCCCAGCAAGGATAACGACATCCGACTTTTAGCATTGGTCAAGAGCTGTTGTAGATCCCGGCAGAAGTCGTCCTTGACCGAGTCGCCACTGCACTCAGTCGGAGGGTAGGCGGAGATCACAAACAAGTTGCGTCTCTCTTCGCGAAGCTTGTTGATTCTACATGAACACCGAAGCCGAACTACACACAGTCGGCTGTTAATCTGGAACCAGTCCAGTAGTGCCGCCTCGGTCTTGCCAATTAGTGCTATACCTACACCAGCCAAACCCGCTGAGGCTTCTTCTGAATCTACAGAAAGACGCAGGTGATATCTGGCTTCGTGATCAGTAGGGGATGTCAATGTAAACACAGTGCTGGGATCCTGCAATCGAGTTTCTGAAAGGCAGCAGACATCAATGTCTAAGGAAGCTAGGGTGCGCGCTAGACCGGCTTGCTGTCCATTCTGCATGAGTGTCCGAACGTTGAAACAAGCCAGACGGAACGAGGATCGGGGACGAAGAAGAGCCATAGGTTGAACTCCGCGGTTTGCAGCGCATTTGGAATTGCAGCTAGATTTTGAACACATGAATCGGGGAACGGAAAGTAAGAATTGTTAGTAAACAAATAATTGGCGTGTGACGAAGCCGCGTGAAAGTGACTAGCAGAAACAGTAGCTGAGGAGCAAGTTGAAATACAGTCCATGGTTTTGTGAAAGGGCGTGACACTGCCCGGTTGCTCAATCCAAAGTAGCGAGTTGACTTAGGGGACCCCACACCGAGCATTTGGATAAATAACCGACCCGCAAGGCAGCGGGGCGAATTCAGGGAATCGCGCCCATTGGGAGGCGTTGACTGAATGTTCGGTTCATGCGTCTTTGTTTAGCAGATTACCAAACAGGGGCCCAATACTCCATATGAAGTCAGCACAATTGCTGGAATTCAATGCCCCACCGAGGTGGAGCATTGCCGCCGAACACTTTGCTGGAAGGGGATACACCCGAAACACCCAGCTGGCACCACGAGGAGGTAGTTCGGCAAGCAGCCCAGTACTTTCAATACACCAGATTGACTATCACAGTATAATGT